ATAGCCTTCTATGTGGCAAGAAGGGACGAGGAGAACCAGAAATACACAGAAGTGCTAGTAATATTTGCTACATTGGCAAAAAGAGATAGTTTTGTATCTTCTTTTCCAATGTTTATGTCTATCATTACATTTTTTGTCTTACTACATTTGTTAAAATTTCTAAGGAAATACTAAATAGCAATGATATTCACTAAGCCTGTTTTATTTTCAACTTTAATTCAAATGGCTCTAGCACTTTGTAATAAAATGTTTGCTACTGCTTTCTGGTTTGTATTTTTGATTTTATATAATTAATTTCTACCTATTCCTTCTTTACCTAAAGTTTTTATCAGGAATGCTGCCAATTCTATCATGTCTTTTCAGCATTAAGATAATATATTTTTTCTCTTTAATTTGTTAGTGTAGCAAATTATATGACTACATTTCCTGTATTTGGATCTGTAAACTGAATCTCTCTTGGTTTTAGAGTGCTATTATTTTGAAAAACTGAAGAGTCTTAGGACTGTAGCATCTGCACCTGGACTGGTGGCACCCCAAGTGGCCAGCCACTCACCCATGGCTTGTCTGACCACGAGACCCAATGACACACAAGGAGGAAGGTGGAAGTCTGCTGCTGACTACAGTTACAAAGAGTATGTGCACATAGAAAGGGGCGGTGAGATTACCTGTATTATCCAGGAGCAGAGCATCTAAATGGAGACTTTGTTCATAATCCCTTAAAGCGGCCAGAAATATAACTCTGCTAAAGAGGCCAACATACCAAGGCCCCAGATAGACAGATAAAGGGCAGAATGGAGATGCCATGGTAGATACACAGAAGAGAAATTCCAGTTTGTGTTTATGTGTGTGCATGAATGAGTATGTGTGATTGCAAGCATGTGTATATGTTAGCACTTGTGTGTGTGTGCCCGCCTGAGTGTGCACATGTGCATCCATATATGTATGTGAGTACATGCATATGTATGTATATGTGAGTGCATGTGTGTATGTTCATGTATGTTTGTGTTTGGAGGCACAGGCGGGAATAGATGGGGTTAAGTATTTGGAATGGGTCTTTTAAACTACCTTTGTTTTTTGTTGTATTTTTTTTGAAACAGGGTCTTGCTCTGTCATTCAGGCTAGAGTGCAGTGGTGGTCATAGCTCACTGTAGCCTCAACCTCCTGAGCTCAAGTAATCCTCCCTCCCTAACTTCCTAACTAGCTAGAATTATAGGCACGCATCACCATGTCCTCATTTTTGTGGGGGTTTTTTTCTGGTAAAGATGGGGTCTTGCAACTTTGCACAGGCTGGTCTCAAACTCCTGGCTCTAGTGATCTTCTTGCCTAGGCCTCTCAAAGTTCTGAGATTACAGGAATGAGCCATTGCACCAGGCCTCAAACTGTTGTAACCATAGTAGTGACTTTGGACATTTTCCTGAGGAGTCACTGCAAATTTTAGCTGGAGTAGTAATTTGATCAGACCCATTTAATATCAGCGTGGGGGATGCTTTATAGTAGTAATTCCAAAATGCTGTCTGAAGATGCAAAAGCTTCTAAAGAAGTTTCCCCTTTGTAGTAAGTTACGTTGAAATGAGAAAATATAATAGGACAATATAGTAAATCCTTTAAATATCTAAATTTGTTAAATTTGCCTGTATTCTCTGGTTATTCCTTCCCTCAGTTTGTGGCTTCAAATCCTCTTTATTTAATAAGACACTGGTGTTAATAGATAGTAGTGATAGGTTTATTTGTTAATGCTTGATAAAATAAAACCTTGGCATATTTTTTCAACGATATTCCAGATTTTTAAAAGAATAAACTGATCTTTGAAATCTCAAAGTCTGGGAACCACTGGCAAAGTTATATTAGCAGAAATTTGCCTTTGTATGTGTGTTTTTTCCATAGTACACATTCCTTGGCCCCTGGGGAAGAATTCAAGTGTAATGGAATTGGTATAGGCATATGTATTTTGAAAAATCTTCCAAGTTCTTTAGAGATGCTTCCCTGGTTTAGAATCCCTGGTTTGGAGGAAAAGTTGAAAAAGACCTGGTGTTCAGCAATGGAGAAAACCTTGAAGAAACCAGGACAGGAGAAGACAGGAAGGGTGAACGTGAAAGACATTTTTCTTAGCTGGAATTAATAAAACTCCAGGATAATAAGATGGTCCTTACAGAATTTATGGCAAAAATAGGATTCAGGAGGAGGCTCCAGATCATCAGCTGTGAAAATGGCCCTGCTTTACTGTGCATAAAGAAGGATTTCCTCCTACACGGGGTGACCATCCTTCTGTCTTGTTCCCAAGAATTAATTCTTAAGAAGGCAATAGTTGAAGAGAAGACTTTTGTGAAGAATGAGGTAGACATTCAGACATTTAGAAGTATCCTGTAGAATTCTAGAGTAGATGGTACTTGGTTTTCATGGAGTATCTCCCACAAACTGAAGTTATTAATATTTTCTCATATTAAGAACACGAGTAAATAAAGAAAACAAGTGAGTAGATGTGATATGGGTTGGCTCTGTGTCCCCACCTAAATCTCATTATAATTATAAATATAAAATTATAATTTCCAGTGTTGGGGGAGTGACCTGGTGGGAGGTGACTGGATCATGAGGGAGGGATTTCTCCCTTACTGTTCTTGTGAGGGTGAGTTCTCAAAACATCTGGCTGTTTGAAAGTGTATAGTACCCACTCCCTTCACTCTCTCTCCTGTCAGCTATGTGAAGAAGTACTTGCTTCCCCTTGCCTTTAGCCATGACTGTAAGCTTCCCAAGGCCTCCCCAGAGGCAGAAGCCTGTAAGCCATCTGAACCGAGTTGATTAAACCTCTTTTTTAAATAAGTTATGCAGTCTCAAGTATAATAGTGTGAGAACACACTAATATAGGGTGTCTGTGACTTAAGACTTCTGCTAAGTGGTTAGAGTCCCTGACATCACCAAATGGCCAGGTGACATACTGTTGAGTCCCCTGAGGGCAGGAGTCTATCTCCTCCTACTTTATCCTATGTTGCTAAAGCACCAAGAGGTAATTGGTATTTGTTGATTGAGGTTTTGGTTCTTTCACTGAACAACTCAACCCTTTTGGAAATATAATTTTATATTTTAAAACTTCAGAACTATTCTGTATTCTTTAATCTCTCAGGGGTCTCTATTACTGTTCTCTGCAGGACAAAGGATTTGGACTAGTTCTGAGTCGACTGCTTTAGAAGACAAGAAATAAGTGCTGACTCTTCATTCAACTTATCAACTATTTTATTGACACCTATGATGAGCCAACAATTGAATGTGGAATGTGAAAACAAGGGAAGAATTCAGGCAGATACTAGCATCTTTCACCTAAGCAACTAGACAGGATACAAGTTCTAATGATCTATTGTTGCATAACAAATTATCTCAAAACTGAGTGGCTTAAAAGAACATTTTTGTTATTTCTCAGGATTCTTTAGGTTAACTGAGCTACACTCTGCTATTCTTGATTGAGGCAAGATCAGGACTAGAGAAAGGTGAGTGTAGTGTCTAAAGTACAAAATTTAAGAAGGTACACACTCTTGGAGTCTTCAGAACCCCATTATGAAAATCAGTGCCTCCTTAAATTTTACACCAAAATGCCTCATTTGCCTCACCCTGACCTTGACCCTCGCTTGAGGTCTCTCTCATATGCCTTCAGTCAGATGGCAGCTAGAGCTGGAGTCATCTGAACGTTTGATTGGGCTGGACATCCAAGATAGTGTCTCCACTCACAAGTCTGGTGCCTTCTTCACTCACTTGGCTAAAACAGCAGGGAGCTGGCCAGGGATCTCCTTCTGTCTCCATGTATACTCTACACATAGTAAGCATGGGCTTCTTCACAGCATGCCGGTCTGAAGGTAATCCAGATGTCTTACATAGTGACTGGCTCCTCCAGAGCAAGCATTCCAAGAGGTCTGACATGGTTTAGCTCTGTGTCACCACCCAAATCTCATCTTGTAGCTCCCATAATTTCCACATGCTATGGAAGGGACCCAGTGGGAGGATTGAATCATGGAGGTGGGTCTTTCCCAAGCTGTTTTCATGATATCGAATGGATCTCTTGAGATCTGATGGTTTTAAAAACAGGAGTTTCTCTGCACAAGCCCTCTCATTGCCTGCTGCCATACACATAAGATGTGATTTGCTGCCCTTTGCTTTCTGCCGTGATTGTGAGGCCTCCCGAGTCATGTGGAACTGTAAGTCCAATAAATCTCTTTCTTCTGTAAATTGCCCAGTCTTGGGTATGTCTTTATCAGTAGTGTGAAAACCGACTAATACAAGGCCCAAGTAGAAGCTGCAAGGCTTCTTGTGATCTAGCCTTGGAGGCCCCAGAATGTCAGTCACTTCCACTATGTCCTATTGGTAAAAGTCAGTAAGGTCTGCTCAAGACTCAAAGGGAAGGGAAATAGACTCTTGCCTTTCAATCAGGGAGAAAATGGATGGAGACCAATTTTTGAGGATATCTACCACAGAAAGCCCAGTAGACAAATAGGTTTTGAGGATGAGAAATTAGAAGTGCTCTTGGGAAAGCTTAAGTTTGAGATGTCCTTGGAACCAAGTGAGTATACACATATGGAGATCAGAGAAAGACTGAGATTGAAAACATCAAATTAGGAGATGCAACTTAAAGTCAAGGCACTAGGTATGGTTACCTAAGGAGTTGAGAGAGAGAGAAGGAGCCACCAGGCAGTAAAATGAGGGAACAGGGGAGTGTGGCATTTCAGATGCCAAATTTTTAAAAAGCGCTTTGAAAAGAAGGAGGTGATCAGTCACGGCCAATGCTGCTGAAATGTCAAATAAGCTGAGGATGGAGAAGTGACCATCAGATAGAGCAAGGTTTTGGTCACTAGTGACTCTGCATAATCAAATGGAACTCGATTATGTAGAGTGAACCCAGAGGAGAACAGGAGAGTGGGAAAAATGAGTAAAAGCAAGTTTTTCAAATTTTCATGAAAATGGAATAGCGACTGAGTAGGGAAATGGAGTATAGAAGGTTTTACTATTACTTGTTTTAAGATAGGAGACAGGCTTTTTTTCTCGCTCTCCGGCCATCTTAGCGTCTGCTCTTGGTTGGGGGCTGTCCCGCACCTAAGGCAGGAAGATGGTGGCCGCAAAGAAGACGAAAAAGTCGCTGGAGTCGATCAACTCTAGGCTCCAACTCGTTATGAAAAGTGGAAAGTACGTGCTGGGGTACAAGCAGACTCTGAAGATGATCAGACAAGGCAAAGTGAAATTGGTCATTCTCGCTAACAACTGCCCAGCTTTGAGGAAATCCGAAATAGAGTACTATGCAATGTTAGCCAAAACTGGTGTCCATCACTATAGTGGCAATAATATTGAACTAGGCACAGCATGTGGAAAATACTACAGAGTGTGCACACTAGCTATCATTGATCCAGGTGATTCTGACATCATTAGAAGCATGCCAGAACAGACTGGTGAAAAGTAAACCTTGCAAAATTTTCCTTTAATAAAATTTTTCCGAGCTTGTTTTAAAAAAAAAAAAAGATAGGAGACGGGATGGCCTATTGTGGTGAATGGCAATGACAGAGTTAAAAAAAAAAAAAAAAGCAGGCTGAGAGCCCCCAGGCTAGAATGCTAATGCCCTGTGACTGGGATGCAGAGGTCCCCAAAGCAGGCAGATCTCCCTTAAACCCCACTGAGAGCTGTATCAAGGGCAAGGTGGGCAAGTTTTACCAAAAACACAACACAAAAAAAGAAATATGTTAAGGCTGAGAGCAGTGGTTCTCAAAGTTTGAGCAGCATTCTCTGATAACTTCTTAGAAATGCATATTCCATGGACCCATCAGTCCAACTGAATGAGAAACTTCCAAAACTAGAGATCTGAGTTTTCTCATACCTGGTAAGGTTTGGGACCCACTATTCTAAAGGAACTCAACAAAAATTCAAGTAAAGATGAAACTAAGGGCTGACTTTTTTCCTTATGAGCCTAAAAAAACAAAGTTTTAAAGACAAGAGGGGCTTTTTCAAGTGTCTAATTGGCTTGGAACTTTGCCTATGAGGGATCCAAGACTCAGAGAAGGTGTCTGAGTTGTCCAAGTCCTCCAGGCAGAACTGAGAGGACAATTCCAACAAAAGAGAGAGAGAGAGAGACAGAGAGCCAGGAATATGGTGGTTTTGATGTGCCATGAAGTTGCAGCCTTTCTGTATTTTTAAAGTATCGATTTATACTGTTGTTTATCTTCTACAACTCAAATCGGTCCGCCTTAAGTCAATCTGGCTCTTTTAAGGTGTAATTTTGGTTTTGGGGACTGCAGAGGTGCAGCTTCCCACGGCTGACCCAGCGCCTCTGCGGAATGCAGCAGCCTCAGCAGGCACAGGAGGCTTTTCCACAGCCGGAGAAATCTAGTGCTGGGGCTCCGGCTGTGACTTTTGCCATTTCAAATTCACTTGGCCTCTGGGGAGCGGCGGACAGCTCGGCGCTCAGCGCGTCGGAGGCCCGGCTGTTTCTGTAGGAGAGATTTAGCCTTAATTTTTGTGACAGATGGAGTTGATAGTCTCTCCACGGAAAGGGGAGGAAAAAAGCGCCAGTTTTTGACAGGCCGCAGACGCCCGCTGCCTCTGGTGGTCGAAGGCTGCGTTGCGCCCCAGTTAAGGTAGCTCGGAAATTCCCGCACCGAGACTGCAGAGGTCTACTCTGCCGGGCAGCCTCCCTTAAACTTAGTGAGGAGCTGAAACTTACACTTCAACCTAAACCTTTGGGGTCTGTCCTCCTTCTGTCTTGTGACTGCGGCGGGGTAGTACATGTTCAACATTCCTGAATATTTTTAATGCTACTTTAATTTTTTCATTGCTGCACGTGTTGCAAGCTTATCTTCCTAAGAAATTATTTCGGTTGATTGGATTTTGGTCTCGCAATTTGAAAACGAAGCGTGGCGCACGGGCGGTACCTACCAGATGGGCTAGCTGGGGCTGGAGGGTGGGGCGCGGGCTGTTAAGCATCTCATCAACATCTTTCTAACAAAGTGTGTTCTTCTTTCTTGTATGCTTCTTTAAAAAAGTTTCAGTTTCACATTAAATCTCTGGATTCTCTCCCTACCCTCTGTGGTGATCGAGACCCAAAGATAAGGAGCCTGGAAGAGAAACTGAGTTCAGAACCCAGTCGAAAGCACAGATGGAGGCCAGCCAGAATTAATAAAATTACCAAAAAAAGGCCGGGTGCGGTGGCTTAAGCCTGTAATCCCAGCACTTTGGGAGGCCGAGGCGGATGGATCACGAGGTCAAGAGATCGAGACCATCCTGGTCGACATGGTGAAACCCCGTCTCTACGAAAAATACAAAAAATTCGCTGGGCATGGTGGCGCGTGCCTGTAATCCCAGCTACTCAGGAGGCTGAGGCAGGAGAATTGCCTGAACCCAGGAGGCGGAGGTTGCGGTGAGCCGAGATTGCGCCATTGCACTCCGGTCTGGGTAACAAGAGCGAAACTCCGTCTCAAAAAAATAAATAAAATTACAAAAAACAAAACAAAAAGAAAATGAAAGAAAGACAAAAGAAAGGAAAAGAAAAAAGAAGCAAACAAAAAAGGCCTGTGGCTGAGCCGGATGCAAACAGCTGCCCCTAAGCCCTGCCCGCCTGTGTTGTGCGCGAGCTGGGGCTGCATATCCGAGCCTCCTTAAGAGTAGGAGGAGCTCCGGGCCTCCATCAAGCTCCCTAAGCCTTTCCTTTCAAGCCCAGAATGCCTGAATGTGAGCTGCCCACCACCCTCCCGCCCTCCCCCACTCCGCAACCCCACTCCAGCGGCTCGTAAAAAAAAAAAAAAAAAAAAAAAAAACTTTCAACAACAACAGGCAGGACCAATAGCATCTCGAAAAGCCGGGAAAGGGGCCGAGCAAAGGGCGAAAGAGAGTGGAGAAAGGAGAAAGCGGGCCGGCTGGGAGCGCGCGGGGCCGGAGCTCGGCGAGCCGGAGGAGCGTTGCTAATGTTTTTGTTTGTTTGCTTTTCCATGCATGCATAATGAGGGGGCACCGCGGCACCACGCGGGGGCTCCCGGCCCACTTTTGTATTTAAAGCCTCGCTGCTAACGAGTCTGCAGCCGGGCTCAGCGGATCCGCTCCCCGGGCTCCTGGTCACCCGAGAAGCCGCCGCCGAGTGAAGCCAGGGAGCCGCTCTCCGGTAGCACCGACTTTCTTGTTCTCCCCGTGCCTCCCGAAAAGAACTCCCGGGAGCTCGGCGGAGGCCAGGGTTGCTGCGGGCGGAGGGGGAGGGGACGCGGGGCAGCCGGGCCGCGGGAAGGCGGGCAGCGCGCGGACTCCGGGCCAGGAAGCAGCGCGATGCGAGAGACCGCGGCTGCAGTGGTGGCGACGCGGCGCTGAGTCCGGGCGGAAGGAATCGCCGCGGCCGCAGCAGGAGAAGCCGGCGCGGGGACCGCCGGCCGCACAACGGATCTGCAGGCGCGGAGCAAAATGCACCCGCGGCGGCGCGCGGTCCTGCAGCCCCGCCACGGCCCCGCGGCCCGCACCCCCCCGGGGCGATAGTGAGCGGCTCCGGCCACCGCCGGGGGCCGAGCCGGGTGGGAGAGCGGGACCAGATCTGGGCTGCTGTTCATTTCCAGGAAGCCACCGCAGCCGGAGCAAGAGGAGACCTTCTGCCACCAGCGGGGCATCAGCCAGCGGCGCGCATGGATTTATGAAGACACTCATGCAAGAAGTGGGCAGGACTTGGACAAACTTTTCCACCGGCTCCGCGTCCGCCGCTCCCCGCGCCTCGTCTCCTTTCCCCTCCTCTCCCGGCGGCCGCCGCTGCCCGCGATGGTGGCCGCGCTGCTGGGCGGCGGCGGCGAGGCCCGCGGGGGAACCGTGCCGGGCGCCTGGCTGTGCCTGATGGCGCTGCTGCAGCTGCTGGGCTCCGCGCCGCGGGGCTCCGGGCTAGCTCACGGCCGCCGCCTCATCTGCTGGCAGGCGCTGCTGCAGTGCCAGGGGGAGCCGGAGTGCAGCTACGCGTACAGCCAGTACGCCGAGGCGTGCGCGCCGGTGCTAGCGCAGCATGACGGGGGAGACGCTCCCGGGGCCGACGCTGCTGCCTTCCCGGCCTCGGCAGCCTCCTCCTCGTCGCGCTGGCGCTGCCCGAGCCACTGCATCTCGGCCCTCATTCAGCTCAACCACACGCGCCGCGGGCCCGCCCTGGAGGACTGTGACTGCGCGCAGGACGAGAACTGCAAGTCCACCAAGCGCGCCATTGAGCCTTGCCTGCCCCGGACGAACGGCGGCGGCGCGGGCGGCCCCGGCGCGGGCGGGGTCATGGGATGCACCGAGGCCCGGCGGCTCTGCGACCGCGACAGCCGCTGCAACCTGGCGCTCAGCCGCTACCTGACCTACTGCGGCAAGGTCTTCAACGGGCTGCGCTGCACGGACGAGTGCCGCACCGTCATTGAGGACATGCTGGCTATGCCCAAGGCGGCGCTGCTCAACGACTGCGTGTGCGACGGCCTCGAGCGGCCCATCTGCGAGTCGGTCAAGGAGAACATGGCCCGCCTGTGCTTCGGCACTGAGCTGGGCAATGGCCCCGGCAGCAGCGGCTCGGACGGCGGCCTGGACGACTACTACGATGAGGACTACGATGACGAGCAGCGCGCCCCGGGTGGCGAGCAGCCGCTGGATGACGACGACGGCGTCCCGCACCCACCGCGCCCGGACAGCGGCGCTGCTGCAGCGAGCGGCCGCGGGGACCTGCCCTACGGGCCGGGGCGCAGAAGCAGCGGCTGCGGCCGCTCGGCGTCCCTAGGCGCCTGGACTCCACTGGCCACCATTTTGCTGCTGCTGCTGGGGCCGCTCTTTTAGCCCTGGCGCCCCCCGCCGCGCGCTCGCCAGGCCCCCGCGACGGGGCACCTGTGGCTTGGGGACAGATAGAGGGGATGGTTGGGGATACTTCCCAAAACTTTTTCCGAGTCAACTCGGCGTAGCGGGTTCCCCCGCCAGGACTCTGGGCACTACCCTGAAGCTCCTCGCAGGAGGTTGACTTCTTGGACCTCCTCCCCCGCCCCAATTCCAGGCTCCAGAAACTCCCAACACGTCTGCCGTCCAGAAACCTAGCTGCAGTGTTCAGGACGTCCGGGAGGAAACGGGCATGCGGGGGACGGAACAGTAGTCCTGGACTCGAAAGGGAAGGTGCTGACCAGTGGGGCCTTAGCAGTTCGAAGGGACAGGAAGGAGGAATTATATTTGCAAAGGGGCTATTAGCATGTTTCCCTTGAGGGGGAAAAAAAAGTGCCGGTATCGACTTTTATAGATTGTGGCCAGTGAGGACATTACAATCCTATGTAAACAGAAAAGTCCCACATACCAATTCATTTCTTCACTGTTTGTATCAGCGCCCAGAATTCTCAGTGACGTGGGGGCGGGGGTGGGTGGCGATTGCCTTAGAGGGAACCCCTAAATTGGTTTTGGATACGTTGGAGCCCTTGACCTTAATTTCATTGCTACCACTCTGATCTCTTAGCACATTTCTTAGGATTAAGGGTCCAAAAATGCGGATCTAAGGGGTTGCCATGGTGT